TTTGGACGAGGGTGTAACGGTGATTTTCTCTCCAGACCTGAGAGAGTCAGAAGGTTCAGGTTGGCGGGTTGGTTCTATCCCAAGGAAGAGAGAACACAGTGGGGAGCACAAGCACTTACCGAGCCCAGTAGGAGAAGTCGTAAGAGAAGGGGCCCTGTAACTCGTCCACCATCTCTTGTCCAGGAGGCCTGGCCCTCCCTTCCTCACCCTTTTCTTTGCCCGTCTTCTCCCTCTCCTGCCTGCGGGTCTCAATCTCTGCCAGCTGCTGTTCCCTCCGAAGCTCCTGTGCAGACTTTAGAGGGCCCAGGACCAAGGCTGGCTCACTGTCAATGGAAGACCTGGAGAAGGCACAGGATGGCTATGGGACTTGGTGCTCATCCTGCATTGAATGCGAACTTGACATTCCCACACTGGGGACCTTACAATGACACCACAGTGGCATAATCTTTCATTTAAACACGCTAATTAGACTGCTCAGAGTCATCTGACACCAGCGATCTGCACGAACCAAATTCAGTGATGGGATTCGACACACCGGGACCCCTGTGGAAGTTCTGTCTCCATCTGCTGGCCCAACAGGACCCAACACACCCGGAACACTGCCAATGCCCCTGGTAACAGTGACACCTCCATCCACGAGAAAAGGACAGAGATCAGAGTACTGGATCTGTTTGCATCTACCAGAAGAGAACCTTGGTCCCATACCCACCAGGAGAGCAAGAAATTCCTGCTACACCCACCAGAAGAAAGGATGAGAAGAGGACAAGGTAAAAGCACAGCCAACAACAGAAAACTCAGTATCACTCCATCGGAGACTAGGAACCATACACCAGCAAGACCTGAACATCACAATGCAGATGAACCAGAAGAGGATGACCTTAAGAACATATTCAGAAAAATGATAGAGGACCTCAAAGAGGACATGAGAAAATCCCTTAAAGAAATGGAAGAAAAAACAAGCCAAAAAATACAAGATATCAACAAATCTCTCAAGGAACAGTTCAAGACCTAAAAACTGAAATAGAGACAATAAAGAAAGCACAATCTGAGGGAATTCTGGAAATAGAAAAGCTAGGTAAGCGATCAGGAACTACAGGTGTAAGCATAACCAACAGAATACAAGAGATGGAAGAGAGAATCTCAGGAGTTGAAGACACACTAGTGGAAATAGGTTCATCAATCAAAGAAAATCTTAAGTCCAACAAATTCCTAACACAAAATATCCAGGAAATAAGGGATACAGTGAAAAGACCAAACCTAAGAATAACAGTATAGAAGAAGGTGAAGAAATCCAACTCAAAGGCGCAGAAAACATATTCAACAAAATCATGGAAGAAAACTTTCCCAACCTAAAGAAAGACATGCCAATGAATATACAACACCTACAGAACACCAAATAGACTGAACCAAAAAAAAAGGTCTCCTTACCACATAATAATCAAAACCCCAAACATACAGAATAAAGAGAAAATATTAAGAGCAGCAAAGGAAAAAGGTCAAGTAACCTATAAAGGCAAA